CTTTTTTTTGTTTAAAAGCAATTTTAATTGACAGCTTGTTGTGTCATGCTTTATGCCTTTTTGTAAATTGTTAAATTAAATTATTTTTTCTTTTAGTATTTCTTTTTTTGGTGTTTCCTCTAGTATTATTTGGTATTGTTTTATTTGTTGGGGATTATTTATTGTTGCATTTAATGATATTAGGTTTATCGTTTTTTTTATGTTTGTATGTATTATTAATACTTACCTTGTGTTTTAGTATTGTATTGATACTCGATGATGTATAATTGAATATAGGTTGGGCTTTACTTATGTATGTATTCTGCCTCTTCCGTACAGTTTCAAACCTTATTTAAAATCTACAATCAAAATTTAAACATCTTTTGTGTAATTATAAATATTTATTAATATGATGCATCTTTACACACGATCAGTTTTGAGTTAAAACAATTCATTATTATTACTGCTCTTTTAATCTCAAAATTTATCTTCTTGATTTTTCTAAATTTACAGAATTTCTAAGATGTATTGACACCATTCCAAAATAATATTAATATCCTGCTGTATTTATTAATATTTTAGAGTAAACAGATGAATTTTGAATAATCTTGAAGGTAGCATTTATGAGACATTTCATTTCTCTTGATTTCGTTTCATTGACACTTTGGTGACATAATCTACGTAGCTGAACTGTCCGTATTCATTAACTTCTATATCTTCTAGACATTCTGCCATTTCTCTTTGGCCGAACATATCTCCCGCACTCATCATTGCATCGCGAAGTTCGTCCACGTAAGTATAACCTGTTCCTCTCGAATCGAAAACACCAAAATCCCTAATAATATCGACACTGCAATCGGATTCTTTTATCTCTGTTTCTATCATATTACATATCAATTTTGAAAAGTCAGAATTTCCATCGGATGAATCTCTCTTCATGATTTGGCCGAATTCCTCATCCGGAATGGTTTGCCCCAGACCGATCATAACTGTTCCTAATGATGTCAAAACAGTTTGTATATGCCGAACTGTTATATTATCCTTTTTTCCTAACTCTAATTTCCCGTTACTTAATTGGAATCCCCACAGTTTCTTCTCCATAATTTCCAAAAGTTTTGCAAAGTCAATACAGATCGGTTCTTCTTGTAAATCCAAATCTTCATTTAATATATTCTGAAGATCTTCTTCTGTTAAATTTTTGCCCAAAGATTTTGTTATAGTACTTATACAAATCATTCTTTTTCTTAATTCTCGAATGTTAGCTGTATTGGGTGTATTTATATTAGAATTTGTTTCATTTTTATTGATATCATCGTCTAAACTGTCTTCTTTCTCGAACATTTTTAAGAGTTTATGCAAACCTACATTTCCTTCGCAGTTAACGTCTTCTTGAATAATTTCGTCCATGTCTTCGGTAGATAAAGTTTCTCCTATGATTTTAATTAAGTATCCTAAACTATTGATAATTGATTTTCTAATTTCAGTAGGTTTTACGTCTTTATCGTTACTGTATTCTTTTATTTTTGTCGCTATTTCTCCGTCTCCTAAACTCGCATTTAATTCGTATTTATGTTCTTTATCTTTTGATCTTAATTTCAAATTCTGGCTGTCATTCTTTGTCTTTCATTTCTTTGGCTGTAGTGTCTTGTACCTGTACCTGTAAATCATACTTTTCCAATAGAAATAGAGCCGTACCTTTTATCAAATTAACGAATACAGTCGACCCCCCTATAACAGTGTTGATTTTTCCGTGTTATATGAATTCCATNTCAACAAAACTAATGCTCTGGCCACCAGCACAACTGGTAGTTCATCACCTCAGGTAGACACTGGGAAAATTGGAAGTACATTATCAGGAAATTGATGAAAATAAAGAAAAGTATTCAGACGAGGACTTGGACTCTCTGTGTTAGTGTCAAATTCAGTAAATAAACACCCAGGACACGGATAATACCCTCTTTACTGTAGGCATATGCATGACTGATTTAGCGTTATAAACTTTACATAAAGGACAAGTTTCATAATGTATTCCTTGTCTTAATCCCAACATAAATTAATTGTATTGTAGATTAGTTGTATTGTAAAATCTATTGTAGCTATTGAAAATGTGTAATAAATTGTATATATACAAATATTGTAAATTTTATTGTAATACTATTATTATAATTGATGTAAAAAATACTTGTCAATAAATGGCGAGGTACTGTACCTCTGGAATCTCAAACATCCCTTCTACCTTTCTTTTCTCCTTTTCTAATACTACTCTTCTATTTCCATTTTTCCTTCCTTTCTATCTCTATAGTAAACACAAGATAGCACAGGAAACATAAAATCAACATACAGCTTTCTCTGATGTATAATACATATAGTACTGTCTGTGCTAAAAGAAAGATAAATTAACTCTTGATTTCAACAAAAAATTTACTTCTTTTTTTTTAACAATAACACAGTTTTTTTCGTGTAAAAAATCAATCGGTAAAAAGAGGATAAGTGTTCTTTTGTCGATCGTATTATTTCAAAATCGCGTTAAAAAAGGGATTGGTGTATTGTAACCATTACAATGAAGGCCGAATGGGCTCCAAATCGGCAATTAGTATTTTGTTGCTTACTCTAGGGAATTGAATCCCGGCTAAAAATCAGAAATCAGTGTGTCAGTCAGTAATTTATTCCCGTAAAATTTTTAAAGCGTTTGTTTCCAGAGATTAAACTACCTTGTGATTTTGCTCGTAGTTTCGAAATAACCTAATTTTAGCCTTATAATGATGAGTATAGTATTTTTATTTATTTATTTATTTATCAGAGTTTTAACTGTTATCTATAGAAAATAAATGTTCGAGATGTAAGCGTTTCAAACGACACGTATCAGGACAATTACAAGCGAGATCGGCTCATGGTATTTGCTCCTCAATTGATAATATAAATACAGCATTATAATAAACACAATAAATTATATGTAACAAATAAATGCAATATTTATTTAATTAAAAACACATTAGGCAAGATGGGAATTTCAGGCTTTGATACATATATTAGGTTGTAAAGATGTAATTTAGTCATTTTCAAAAACCTTTATTGACAATTAACTCAACAACGTCTTGTTGTACTCATCATTAATATTTCATCTCGCCATTTTTGTTACAAACTTTTACTACTGTAAGCATAGAATTACTGCAATTTTTCTATGAAGAAAGCCTCGAGTGTCGTTCTCAAATGGATATTATCACTGAACTGTTTATTTGTAATGTGATTCTGCAGGATGATAGTCAATTGGCACCAAGTATGAATAAAGTGGATGAACCTCCCAGCCCATACTGGCTACTTTCCCTAAAGTCATATTTATTCTATGTGCTGGGAAGTCCTTGTGGTAGATCAGGGTGTAAATTTTTGGAGTGTGTGGGAACACTTAAATTGTTGCTGTAATTCTTTGGTACCCAACCGTATGTTAAAATATAATTTCAAAAAATTGGTTTATTTAAGCGAATACAAAAGTATAGACAAATAACATTCGTAATGTAGTATTAAAACAAATGAATTTGCGAATTTTAAACCATTATATTGAAGGTTAAAAAACTCTCCGATAAAAACAAAGATTACGCAATGTTTTTATATAACGTATCATTATATTTTTTTGCTATATAATAACATCCTCATCTTTTTAAATTACAAAAATTCGACGTGCTGAAATTAAACACATTATACTCTATACGAGGGTATATCATTTACTAATAAGAAATTAGATTATATTATAAGGGATTTCATTTGTTTACAATGTGTTTATTAAGAAGTAATATATCTTTCTTCTTTATACTATTTATCACTGTTTATTGTTCCTATACGAAACAACAGGTACGTTTAATTGTAAAACATTATCTCGCTTATAATATTTAATACTTATAATCCTCGTTAATATAATTTAATAAAATCCTAAGAAATTATTCATAATAATTTGAAATTCGAACGTTTTCTATAAGTGAATGATTTTTTTCTTTAGTTAAGTTACTACGAAGAAGATAATAGTAAGTAACTTATTTTTTTTTTAATATACAAGTCGTCCCCCCTATAACACTGTTGATTATTCCGTTTTATATAAATTCCGTGTTGTACGAGTCACTTAGATTTTACAAATTCGTGTGCCAGGCTGTGAACGGCTCACGTATTTGTAAAATCTAAGTGACTCGTACAACATGGAATTCATATAAAACGAAATTATCAACAGTTTTATAGGGGGGTCGACTTGTATATAATGGATAAAATTAATATAAGTATCGTGCTTTTTTTTATCTTTTTAATTATATTATTTTTATTTTAAGGACCAACATGTATAACAGATATGGATTTTCAAAATGCTAGATATGGTAGAGTCTTTAATGGTCAGAATGCAAAGATGAACGATTTTCGTTTTGTGGTAAGTTCAGGCAGTTTTTCTTATATTTAAATATAAAAAGAAAGAGAATATAAGGAGAAATATTGAATAATCTGTGTAACGTTTTGTGTGGAAGGTTGCTATTATGATGAATTATCAACCGATTTGCGCAGCGACATTAATTACTGAGAGACATTCGATGACAGCTGCTCATTGCTTGTATGGGTAAGAAAGAAAAAAAAACATTAATAAAATTATTTCAATGTAAACAATTCGCTAATTTAAATTATTATATTTTAGGGCAAGTTTTTTTATAGGATTTATGACACTGAATATCGGAGCTTACGATCTTCGAACAAATAAAGAAGTTACAAATTATCTTCGAAAAATTAAGAGATATTATCTGCATCCCGAATATTTAAGCCGTAATTCTAACAATGATATATGTATCATTGAATTTTCTCCTCCAGTTCATCTAGGGAAAGATTTAAAAGCTATAGCTTTACCTCCACAAAATATTCAACCTATTCCCTATACGCCGTGCATCGTTTGGGGTTGGGGAAGGACTTCCTACAGTAAATATGAATTGCTCTTTAAATTTTTTTAAAATTTATTAAAAGAATAATTGCTTTTACTTTTATTCATTTTAGAAGGTAGTACACCTTCTATTTTGCAGCGAGCTGACCTCATGATTGTATCGAAAGAACGTTGTCAGGAGTCGTCGAGGATTAGGTCTACAAAGACTGTGATATGTGCTGCAGGAAGTAATGGAGAAAGTCCTTGCAACGTACGTAATATATAAGTATTACTTGCATGATTTTCTTTACATGTTCTAATATCGAAACACCGTATTTTCTCGAAAATGAGCCCTAGCATGATTTTGCTTCCTTATTGAAAGTCCTCCCGAGAGTCGCATGAGCGATCTTCCAAAGGGTTTTTTTCAAGTAAACGTTACTAAAATAACAATTTTTTAAACTTTAATATGCTATAAAGTTATATCGTTTCTTATGTTGAGTTCATAAACGTAGTGGACACCACTGGTCTAATGTAAGAAAGGAAAAAGAAAGCGGAAAAGTGATTAACGTGTGTTTTACTGCGGTAAATACCTGAGTAGAAAACGCCTATCTTTACGCTTAATAATGATAATAAATCAATATATAAAAATGAAAATATTAATTTTCATTCGTAAGTCGATTTTTATTACTATTTTATCTGAGAAAAACATACAAATTTTAAATGTAAGCAGTTTCACAATTTTTTTTACGATAAACACCAGATCGGCAATTTAGTATATTATCATTTTTACGTTCAATTTTTTTGCAATTTATAATTTTAAAAATTTAATTACACTATAGATTCATACAACAATATCATCACACTTCACTGTCTACTTATTTCTTACTTGAAAGAGTTCTTTCTCCATTTTATTAACTAGTTAATTAATTTATATTTTATTTTGCTCTTAACAGGGAGATTCCGGATCGGCGCTTCTCGTACAAATTAATAATTTTTATGTTGCTTATGGAATTACTTCATACGGTTCTGCTACGTGTAAAACGAATAATTTGCCTGCATTCTTTACCGATGTATCGAAATATATAAACTGGATATATGATTTGACTAGAGAAGCTGATTGTAAACCTAGAATTTATACCTAGGAGAAGCTCATACATCAAACTTTTATATAGAATTCTGCGCGTAAACACGACTATTGTTCATATGAACAATACGGAGTTCATATTATGTAAATAGACATTTTCATTTCATAGATAATTATCATTTAAACAGATTTATTTATTAATTACTTTACAGCAAGCACCAGCATTTACTTCAGTTACTTTTATTACAGAAAGGTCTAATTCAATCTAATGAATGTAATTAAATTGGGGAATTATCCTTATATAATGTAAATTATTAACGATTATTTTGAGAATTTATTTTAATAAAATTCAATAATTCATAATTTATGTAATGTAAGTAATGTAATGTAAGTAATTTAAGCAATGTAAAAAATGTACTGTACTATGATCAATTTTTTTCGTATTCTGTTCTTATAAATGTTTTTAACCGTGAATTAACTGGAAATTCATTAATGTAGCCTACTTATTAGATTGTTAAAAATAAAATACAGTTATTTAAAATAAAACAACGGTTTTATTATTTTAATCTATATATATACGCCTACATAAATGAGGATGTTTGTTTGTTCGATATACACTCCTAGGCCATTTGACCAATTGTTACTAAACTCAGCAGTTACGTTCAAATACGTCTTACTTAGGTAATGTCGTACATCCCACTCCAGAATATCTATTGATTTTTTAAAATTAATTAATTTCTATCTCCATTCGATTTGCTGGGTTACACGTAGCGCCATCTATTGGCAAAAATTTAACAAAATAATAAACTAAATATAATTCTTATGAAGGATATAATTTTTAAAAATATATATATTATATTCACTTAATTACTGCCACAACGATAAAGCGTGAAATACACTCATCATGGTCACAGTAATAAAATGAAGATAATACTGTATATAATTACTGAAACAGGTAGCACATAGTATTTGCCCTTGTAGAATCGAAAGTGTTACCCTGTGTAAAGCCTATATTAAGTATATTGGGAGACTATCCGCTGTTTCGACGTGATAACTAATTTCTCTTCTGTTCATAGATAAGCCCTTCTGTTCATTACGTCTCAAGCAGTAAAGAGGAAGATGTTTTATCCGACTGTTCCGGAGAGAACACCAAGCAGGCCTAGAATGAGTAGTCTCGGCCAAGATGAGGAGGTTGTGGAATTATTACAAAATCAGAGCTTTGATGTAACGGAAGGTTGTTCGTTTATTACCGCGTATGCATATTGCTCTTAATAGTAAAGTGGAGGAGTTTATAAGGCGACTTGAACATCTCACGGAATGGATTAAGAATGTGTATGAGGCACTCGTTGATCTTGAGGCCAGATTAATCGATATGGAGTCAAGAGTGGATTCGGCTGGATCAGAGAAGGGGAGTTTTCCCCCATTGATAATATCCGCAAAAAATTGATGGATCTGCAACGAGAGATGGATTATATAGATAATCAATGTAGAATTAATAATATAGTTTGGAGGAAAGGGCTGGACTCAGCTATAGACTCTTCAGCTATAGACTCTTCAGCTATAGGCTCTTCGAAGGCAGTTAAATCTCTTGCTATAAATAAGTTGAATTTACCTTTGTTGCAGTATGTAGATGCTAGACGATTTGGTAAAAAATTTGGTTTGGTACACTTAATGATTAATTAACGTTTAAAAAGGCACTTTTTGAGTTTCGTAATTTGAATGTATTTGTAAACAATGACTTTTCACAACGATTAAGAGGCATTAAGTGTAAGTTAAGGATGTTCTGAAGACAAAAGAAATCTGAAGGTGCTCATAATATTCGTTTAACTCATGATAAAGTAATTATTGATGGATTGAATTACGGATTTGATGAGGAATCGGGTATATTTATTCTTATCTCTACATAACAATCACTGGATCGCTGGTATTAAAAATAAGCCGAATTCTTGTTGGAAATATGTATCGCAATTCGATATAATTTTTCTTTTAATCTGAAACCTGGTATTTTTCTAATAATAATAAAAATAATTTGGAGGTTTTATCGAATTATAATTGTATTATTGGTGATGCTTTTAAGGATTGTAATAGAGGTAAATTTAAGGCTGGATGGTTGTTATTTATAAGAGTAAGTGCAAGAGCAAAGTTTGCAAGAAATTTTAATTAATTTTCACTTTAATAAAGGTTTTAATTTGTTTATTTTTGGTGATTTTAATGCTCGGGTAGGTGAAGGAAATGCTACAACGGTGATGTCTTTTTGTATTGATCTTGCAAAGAGAGGTAGGGTATCAATATTTTTACAGTTACCGGTGTTAGACAGTGTAATCATTTATTAATTATCGTATTACGGTAATTTTTTACTGTTGTGTATAGATTTTTGTAATTTGTATAAGTTTGTATACCCCACATTATGGATGTGACAAAACAAATTAGAATACAGTTTATATATACAATAGTGAGGAGAAAATAAATATAAAAGTAATAGCATAAAATAAAATACAGGCAGATGATATATCATCCAAGTTTGTTTATATTCGAATAATGATGTCAGTCAATTAGTCATTCAATGAGGCAAGAGAGTTTATTGTATTAGATCTTCAATCTTAATTTTACAACGAGGTGGTTTTTTGGCAACTAAAAGTTCTATAAAGACAGACAACGCTGAATATATGGCACTCGTAAACTGTAACAGAATAGGTATATATAATAATTTTTGTAATTAATACGAATTTTAAGAATACGAATTGATTTGTGTACAGTACAGTACATACAGTTATAAACCATATTTCTAGAAATTTAAGTATAACAGAATGTATTGAATGAACTTACTCGAATAAAAAAGTTCTTTTTAATATAAAAGAATCCACCGACATTTAATCCAAATGGAGTTTTACCAAATCTGTACATACAGTTATAAACCATATTTCTAGAAATTTAAGTATAACAGAATGTATTGAATGAACTTACTCGAATAAAAAAGTTCTTTTTAATATAAAAGAATCCACCGACATTTAATCCAAATGGAGTTTTACCAAATCTTTTCATAAAATTCAGCATCTATTTTTTTAAAAAAAAATAAGATTATTTTTAATACATTAAACTTTTTCAATTAATTTATTTAAATTCATTCGAATTACCTTTAGTTTTGTTTCTAACGATAGATCAGCAGAACACAATTTATCGATTTCCACAAACTTTTCATACAACTTGAAAAAATTAAAATTAATCTCATAAACCAAATTGCATAATTCATATATAATGTAATAAATAAAGACAGTTTAATGCTTTAGTATATACAGACATATGATAGTATATATTAACATATGATAACATTATTTGAATATCATTTAAATTACTATTTCAAATCTTTCGTGTCACAGTATGTACAACATATATGTCCCGTATTTCAGTAAACTTTGCATTCAATAGGAAATTTAGGTCCACGTTAGCAAAGAAAAAAATCTACAATGGCCAACTTATATGTGACATTGATATACACGATATATTTACGTCACGTATATTAAACCCATAAACTAAATAACCCATGAATAAATAAATATATACTTGTATGTTATATTTAGTGGGTGAAAATATGCAAGTAACAATACAAATTAATTTCTTATGCAAACAGAAAATCCTAACCTAACCTAACCTAACCTAACCTAACCTAACCTAACCTAACCGAACCTAACCTAACCTAACCTCTTTATAAATATGTTATAAATAATATTGAAATAAATACAATTTCAATTATGTATTTTTTAAGAATGATTTTAAAGCTATTTACTTAATAAGATAGGATAGGTTTAAGTTTAACTCACTTACCAAAGATGTAAACCGAGATAATTGGAAAGTCGCAACAGTACTACCGACGATCATACCTAAGAAAAGAATACAGATTGCAAAACGCATAAAAGCATCAAGTTTAAAGAAAAACAATGCACAGAAGAGAAAACTTGACTGATACACTGCAAAACAATATACAGCTGGAATGTATGCTTCATACACTAGATTTAGTTCTTGTATATAAGTCCATAAATCCCAATGAGTTTGAATCAAAGTTTCGATTTTATTCTTGAGAAAACTTTCTTCTTTTGTTAGTTCATCGACTACCTGAGATAAATATTTGAATCTCTTCGAGAGCATTACGCACAAAGCACCGAAAAATAGAACACAACAATCTAATTGTCCAATACCGTAAATGCACATTAATGTGATATTTAGATTACAGAATGAGAGCTCGAATTGTGAATCAATTATTTGTTTTAATGTAGGATAAAGAAATAAATCAATTACGGTTATAACTGTGATTATTGAAAAAAATACATTTGTAAGACCGGCTATAAAAATGATTTGAATATCATCTGCTATTTTTTCTTCTCCTTCATATCCACTGTTATTTCTAGGAAAATAAAGTCTTTTCCTTTTAAATAAACTAAATTGAAAAGATACGAAAATAAAAAATGTAATTAGAATAAATTTTACAAATATTTCATTTTTAGGAAACATTCGGATCCATCCGACACAAACCAAATTGTTTGTTATCTCTTGAGCAGAAAGTATTACATTAGTCCACATAAATACCTCTATAACTGTTTGATATAACAGATATAACGAATTATCAGCATATTGATTACAATTGCAATACATAATTTTAATTCCAAATATCTCTAAGGGGGTGATGATTGGTCGTAGAAAACACACAAAGCACAAACTATGATTCCTGTAACCTGGATACATGTTTTATTCTTAACTCTTAATGAAAATACGAAGAATTTTAGGTGTAGATTATGACTATATTTCGTGGTTCTATTGAGGAAAAGGCCTTACTAATAGATAAAACAGCTAGCTAAGCGAAGAGAGAAGCTATAAGACTGCACACATCCATGTTTATCCACCGACCATTGGTTGAGAGAGAGAGAGAGAGATTGCAAAATATTTCGTTAAATAAACCAAATGTAGGTTTTCTAAAAGAAGAAAGAATATTTTTGAATAGAAATTACGCAAACGATTGATTTTAGTGTTTGTCTTGAAGTCACATGATAAACTGCATTAGCGACCTTCACTAGAAAGTGTATTATGTAAATTGTTTAAAAGCATTTGATTTTATTTCTAGGACTTAAAATATTTTGATTCTAATTATTCTTTATTTAACATTTCGCTTGATACAAGACAATTGAGTCAATTATAAATTTATAAAAGCTTCGATAAATTATACAAAAATATTTTAATATTTGGAATGTATTTTTATTAAAGATTGTATTGTTTTTGTAGGTAAATTTAATTGGTTATGTACTGAAAAAAAACAAACCATAAAAGTGCTTCTTTGTCTCGAAAAATGTACAAATTATCAGAGAAACCGGCAACAATTAAAATCTACAATTCGAATTTACTGTAATTAAACTTTAATCAAAATTTCAATCGATGATTCATTTTAATTGGTTTATAACATGATCCACCACTTATCTAGTAACGTTTATATGTAAGCAAATATTCTTGTGATTATCGAATTCTATATAGAAATATAACCTACTTCTTAATTAACTGATTGTCTTCTGTTCACTTATTTTTATTGATAGTTTTGAATACAATAAATATAGTATAAATGTAGTGCTTAAATGTGTTACCTACAGTTGCAGAAGACCCGAGAACAAGTCCTATGGGTCGTAAACCCTAAGAATTTTTCGGTTCTAATTTGTTGGATCTACAATAATCATGGCAAGAAAAGACTCTTATTCCTCACAGGGCTAAAAGAAGTAAGAAAAATTATATATAGCTTTAATTATTATTATAGAAAATGTATGAAATGTTCGAAAATGTCCCATTAAATTTGGGTGTGTATTTTCTTATATAGAACAGGACTTTTTGCCTTTTGTAATTGGATGTTGTTTAAATATTATGTCATACAATTTTTACATATTTTGATGCCTTTTTCCTTCTGATGACCACCTTGTAAAGTCTCTCAAAGTGTATCCAATGTTATGATGATTCCTTTATATATCTAGCCCATTCCCAATAAAACCAAATATGCAGTTATGTAAAAACAAAGTGAGAATTTGACTTAGACAAGGGTAGAAATCAAGGTTATCTTCCAAAGTTTCTGATATAATACATGAATAGCCATACGTTAATGGTCATCACTCATTATAATGCCAAGAATTGCTGCAGAAATTACAAAAGCAGGCCTTGAGGTCTCCTGCGAAGGATGCAGAAAAGTTGAATGGACTGTGGAGAACAAATAAAAGTAAAAAAACACAATAATAAATCTGGCAACAACAAGTGAGTCTTTTTTTATTATTCAAATTTCACTTATATTTCTTGGTACTACAAAATTTAGTCCCGTCCAGTTTTAAAAAGACCACAATAAATGAATAAATAAAACTAAAGGACCTTAGGTGATTTAGAAAACAAAATATTATTTTGGGAGGACATAGTATTAGTTTAACAGCATGAACTAATGTTTTGGTGAACGTCCTGATGTGGAATCACCTTTCGTACTTAGTAGTGAAAGCTACTCATTCGCATCTATCACTCTAGAAGACTTGCCATCACCACTACCTAAAGTTTCTCCATCTCCAGTCCATATTCCAAAGCGAAAATCAAGTACAGACATCGAACATTACGCCTATTTTATAGTTATAACCATAAATAATTAGCTCAATAGTGGGATCATTTGCATACTACTAAATATCTTGGTTTGCATTTCATTCCAAGTTTCACTGGATTATAAGTTTTAAACAGTTCTATCTCGCTTTGCGTTTTCATCTTGCTTTTGCTCAATGATATACTTCAAGATTATGATTGCCTGAATCCTGAATAACATTAATGTACCAAAGTAATGTACCAAAGTACCAAAAGTTAGAATAAGAAAAATTGAAAATACCGAACTGAAAGAAGTATATCATCTTGTAGGATGTTTCCACTTGTAATGCAAATGTTGTGTTGTGTAACACACAAGCCATTCGACTCCATTTTTGATATATCTAGATAATTCACTCTTCTCCATCTTCCTTTGAGATGAGCAAATGATTTCTTATTGTACCTCACTTCTTGGGTAGCTGTCAAGGGCCCGTTGTCATGATAAGGTTTCATCAAATGCTTATTCATTCCATAAGCACCATCTCCAATAATATGGGAGTCACATGGAAACATTGTTTTGGCTTCCTCGGCTATTTTTCCAGATAGTGAAGAGCAGGCATAAACCATGGCATCATAGACACAGCCATAAAAAGAGCATTAAAATAATGAAATTGTCAAACACAGCTGTAAATGGAAAGGTTAAAAAAATCTCTAGGCATTTCACCCGGTTTTATTTTACATATCAAATATAGCATAAAAACTTTTAAAAACTTCAACAACGAGTTTAACTTTCTCGGCAACATTTAAAACTGCGTGTGTGGCACCTGTTACACCATTTTATTTTAAAAACTTTTTATATTTTTAATTATTATAAAATGGTCAAAAGCTTAATTTTGAGTGTAGGAATGGATTTTATAATAAAATAAAAAATTGTAAATGCTAATAACGACTAAAATAGTCACTAAGTCCGACCCTACTTGAGACACCTACGACACACGACCGTCTTTAGCTCCCCACCCCCTCGGCCTTTCACCACCAAAATTTAATAGAATCAATCCTCTAATACGCAAACCTCCCTGTAAACTTTCAGAAATTTCCGACAAAAACATAGGAGTTATTAAGCTACAAACAGGGTGAACAAAATCATGCCTCTCACACACATACTAACATGCATACATACAGAAAACACCCGAATTTTTTTCATTTTTCGACGTTTCAAAGTCCTCCGATTCCAAAAATGTTATTAAGTTTTATACACAAATCACAATTTTGCCTTTATACTTGACCGACCGAATTATTTTTAATTAATAATTGGAGCTGAAGAAGCAGATGGTAAGGTTATTGTATACCGATTGCGACAACTAATGATGTCATCGTTCCAGATCCACCACCTTTGTTCGATTTTATCATTGAATGATACATCAAAGACGGTAATAAATTCATAAAAACAAAAGCAAATAAAACGTTTTATAAATGTCTTATAAATAATACATTTGTAAAATGTAGTGTAGAAGAGGTTGTCAGGATAGAAGCCATGAATGTACATTACCTTAGGTTTTCAGTTGCAAGATACGCTTGCAATCCCTGTGTATATTACACTATATAATAAGAAACATACAAAATTATTATATATATGTAAGTAGTGTGTATCAAGTTTATAAAAAAAATTGTATAGGTATATGAGAGCCGCAATAAGGATGTAGAAGAGCTGTATGAGGCACGCGAAGCCACCCTGGGTAAGAGTATTATTAGTTTTAAACAAACCAATGACATTATTCGTTTCAAATAAAACGGGCTACGTCATTAGCTTGCTTATCCAGCTATAAAGAGGCTTTTATTTTTACTTTAGGTAATGCACCCTACGTTTTAAGGATAGAACAAAGTTCAGTCTTAAAACTGGCATACTCTTTACTCATTTGACCAGTACAATACATTCCGGAATAGAGAAATATTTAAAGTAACTGCTCACGTAATAATAATACAATGTAATACAGGACCGTATTACTCATAAGACTGACTAGACTGAAGCCTAGGATCTTCGGAAGGAGTAAGGAATTCCTCAATTTTAATAACATTAATAATCTTAAGATGATCCTCAACATGGGTATAAGTTACTTTACTTCGGCCTATCGTACCAGGGTCAAGCTGTCGACTGTAGTAGAATAAAAGATTGAAATGGAGTATGGGCCGGCAATGAATTAATTAACCATTTGTTAAGTGACGTATTAGCATCAAAATACATCACAACCGTTCGGTGTGACGTATTAGGTAACCATTTGGTAAGTGACGTTAACTCAACGTCATTTATCAAATGCTCGCTTACTACATTATTTTATTCATTCCATAAATTATAACTAAAAAAAGTTAGTTTATTATTAAAACGATTCGATATTATAATAATTATATTTTAATAATTCATTTTTGTTTTCTAAAAGTCTTAGACAATGAAGTGAAACGAACAGATGTGTAAATGAAACAGTTTATTTGACCCCGAAATCATTTGGATTTTTAGGTCGTTTATCGTTTAAAATAAGTTAAAAACTATAATAAATTAATCTTTATTAAGAATATAAATTATTAATAAATAATATATACGTATATTGCATTAGACAACCATTGTTACAGATGCTAAACGGTAGTGTTCATTTATTACGTTACACTTGTTTATTGGTTATAAGAATTTTACCGTTTTACGTATTATAATTTATCTCTAGTGTTATTAAATACAGAAAAACATCTATAATATTTCACTCATTACCTTCCGAAATTTCTCACATATAAATACTATAAAAGTCTATTAAAATGTTTAAGTGTGATTTTAATAAACGGGTACAAAGTTAAAGTCGACTAATAAATCGAGTAATAAAAAAAAGCCAAGGTGTAATTATAGTATTATTAATGAAAAAAATACGACTAATTTATAAAATTTTAATTGCTAAACATTATAAAATGTCACCTAGATACTTTTACTAATCACGGGAACAGGTAGATGTTTCTGCATCTGGATAACAGCTGCTCTTAATTGACAATAGTAAATGCGTTTTCATCATCACTGAAAATACTTCTCGACTTTCTAGTTAAAAACTGTATCAAACTTATGAGTTTTACTTTAAAATAATGTTTTCCATTAGAATTATATTCTTTTTATTCGTATTAAATTCATCATTTTATTTTACCTTCTCGGAAGGAGTAAGTAAATTCAATATATACTTTTATAACCAGGAATAATTCTTATAAAATATCAATAATAATTTCAAAATATATTTCAGAGTTCTTCCTACGAGTCTGATAATAGTAAGTGTAATAATAATACAATATAAATGATTAATATTTAATTATAAATTGATAGATTTTTATTATAAAATTTTATTCCTAATTATAAAGCAATTTAAAATCCGTCTATTAAACTAATTTTATAACTGAAATGTAGTAAAAGATAATATAAAATATTTATTTCTTATTTCGAAACGTTTATTACTTTCTATTACTAATAAAATTTCATTTTTTTTTTTATGATATTGAATCAATTTAAATCTCTTAATAATTTAATCACTAGCATTTTGCAGGGAGGTTTATATATTAAAGGGTTTAATAGTGATTAAAGGTCGAAGGGTGGGGAGATAAACCCATCCCTACCCTCAAAATTAAGCTTTTATAATAATACTAGATGCAAGGACCCGCTTCGCTGGGTTTTTATTTGTATGTAATATAGTTTTTTTATATATATAAAAGACTGTTTTTCTAAGTAATCTAGAATCTAGCTGCAAGGACCCGCTTCGCTGGGCGAAAAGTAACGATAGTGAAGATTAAGATAATTACATTATAGCTAATCCGTTTGCACAAAATGCAAGAATTAGGTCCCCCGTTTCCAGACTAATTAGAGAATTTTTACGTTTAGTCAAATGAACTATTTTCAACGTTTCTGGAACGTTTACAATCGTTCTATAATCGAACCAATATTCGAAATAGAAAGCCACTTTCAACCACTTTCAGCCTCATATCTCCCGCACCCTTATAGCTATCGAGACGCAACCACCATAGTGCACGAATAGAGACTTGGGGCTACCATTACATTCAAACACCATTCACGTGCGATGTGTAGTTTTGAAGGAAAAGTGAAATATAGGGACATACATGTCCATTTTTATATATAGATATAGATATAGATATAGATATAAATATATAAAAGAAAAAGTATAGATATTATTTTTTCCTTTATCGAATAATTATATATTTTATTAAAATTCTCCCTTGTTAGAATTTTGCGGCCGAAGTTTTCATCTCTCAAACGTTAACGCCGAACGTCAAGAGCAGCAATCTTGTAAGCGGTGCTCGACGTTCGACGTTCACGTTTGAGAGATGAAAACTTCGGCCTCAACCTTTCTATTATATTCTTCGTTAAACGGCAGAGGACTTCTCCCGAATCTACTTGAGTAGCATTCGTATTCTTAAAATTATGTTGTATTAAATTATATCTATAGAATCACTACAGGATAATGTAGAGATATAACTAATTTTTTAATAAAGTTTACGCTATATTTATTTTCCATTTATAGGGCCAATATGTTTAACAGATATGGATTTTAGCAACATTAAAAATCGAATTGTTGGTGGAAGTGATGCCGATAAAAATTCATTTCGATTTGCTGTAAGAATAAAATTAATTTATTTTATTAATAAATTACACGAAACGTTACAAATCTTGTTAAATAATTTACTATATTTTAAAGGCTGGATTGATAACTTCGTCGAGTTACACGGGACGTATTCGAACCGATAGAGCAGCGTGTGCTGCCACATTAATTACCGAAAAACATGTAATGACGGCTAGCCATTGTCTTTACGGGTCGGTATTAATAAATCTGTTTAAAAAAATAAGTCTCTTAACTAATTTTAATTTATTTATATTTTAGTAAAGAACACTTGATATCGTCTATGAGATTGAATATTGGAGATTACGATACTTACGTTACTGACGAAGCCAGAAATTATATTCGAGGAGTAAAATCCATACATATGCATCCCAGATACGTAGACGAAACTTTTAATAATGATATCTGCATTTTAGAACTTGATAATCCCGTTCCTCTGCAGAGATCATCTGATTTAAGAGCAGCAATTTTACCTCCTCAAGATTCGTCTCTTTCTCCTGGGACCATCTGCACCGTTTGGGGTTGGGGAAGATTATCTTACGGTAAGAAACTATTAATTAATAGAGAGGTTGCGGCCGAAGTTTTCATCTGTAAAACGTGAACGTCGAACGTCGAGCGCCGCTATCTTGTATGCGGCGCTCGACGTTCGACGTTCACGTTTTACAGATGAAAACTTCGGCCGCAACCTCTCTATTAATTAATAGTTTCTTACCGTAAGATAATCTTCCCCAACCCCAAACGGTGCAGATGGTCCCAGGAGAAAGAGACGAATCTTGAGGAGGTAAAATTGCTGCTCTTAAATCAGATGATCTCTGCAGAGGAACGGGATTATCAAGTTCTAAAATGCAGATATCATTATTAAAAGTTTCGTCTACGTATCTGGGATGCATATGTATGGATTTTACTCCTCGAATATAATTTCTGGCTTCGTCAGTAACGTAAGTATCGTAATCTCCAATATTCAATCTCATAGACGATATCAAGTGTTCTTTACTAAAATATAAATAAATTCAAATTAGTTAAGAGACTTATTTTTTTAAACAGATTTATTAATACCGACCCGTAAAGACAATGGCTAGCCGTCATTACATGTTTTTCGGTAATTAATGTGGCAGCACACGCTGCTCTATCGGTTCGAATACGTCCCGTGTAACTCG